AATAATAATCCAATTCTTGTTTTTACGAAAATAACTTCTATGTGTGTCAAAATATAAATTAATCTATTGTTGTATTAAGTTCTAACGTAAATAACATATTAACATGTATTTAGTAAATAACAAAATTTAATTTAATACATTTTCTCCAATTAAATTATTGTTTTAATTAAATTAACATATTGGAAAGAAGTAGTGGCAATCTATGAAAATAATTAAAAACAATTCAAATTGAGTACAACTTGATATTATGAATTTAATAGTAATATTCCTTCATTTATATTAAATTTTTAAATACTTCAGCAAAATCGTCCTTTTTATGTGATCATTTTTCTTGTCGCGATGGCTCTTAAATGTCTCCCACTTGAGAGCCCACGTTCAAAGTATTATTTCTTCTACGCTTCGCCACGCTCAATTGAGCATGAATGTTTCATGCGTGCGAACGACGTTCCAGGTGAGGATCAATCCAGGGGCACCGATTCAGATCGTACAAAACGGCTTGACTATCCGTCATCCGGCATTACCGCCGGTCCCGGAATCACCCCCACAACCGCTCCCGCCCTTGAACTTCGACATTTTCACGACACCCTTCCCCGCGCTGCCGACGCAGCAACGATTGCCTGTCGCTCCTAGACCGTCGTCGATCTTCGCGGATGGACCTTATCATAATCTCTTCAAAAGAGAGAAGAATGAGAAACGAGACATCAAGAACGAGACAGTGTCAAATCTGACTGAGTCTAAGAAATCAATCATGAAGAGAGATATCGAAAAAACTTCTAAGGAAGCTAATACTTCAGATAGCAAGGTGAGCGATTAAGAAACTATTTTGTTTTTATAAATAATATTATTATTTATTAATGACAAAATGATAATAAAATTATCGTGAACTTGGTATCATTTTCTTGAGTACAGATGTTTAAAATCATCTAATTAAAACGAAAGGATTGTTACATGAGTTAAGACAACAACGAGAAAATAAAATAATATAAACACGAGATTTTAAGAGATATTTTATAATGTATTTAGTTCTACATACGTAGATAAAAACAAATACTGACACGAAAAGAATTAACTTAATTTGAACTTAGAATACTTCTTTGCAAGTCTGTTTCTTAAGTCTGTTTTTACAATATATAATTAGGTTACTTAAAGATCAAAGATTACCAAAAGATTTATCAATGAAATTCATTCATGAATCTTTTGCTAACTTTTAAGTAATCATGTATTATAAAAACGGGCTTTAATTATTATTATTGAATGATTATAGTAAAGGATTTAGATACTTATTCTGTAAAAAAAAAGATAGCGATAAAAGTGTTCTACAGTAAGGAGATGTTATTGAGTTTAGGATAAAGTTTTATCACTACTTTTTGTTACAGAATAAGAGTAGTTCTTTACTAAATTTCTGTTATTACTGAATGATTGTCTTTAGTAAAGCACTTATTTATTCTGTACAAAAAATAACGGTAAAATTACCCTAAATTCAACATTTTCCTCGCTAGGACAATTTTATCACTACTTTTGCTATAAATTAAGAAAAGTTCTTTACTAACAATTATTCAATAATTTCATTGTTAAGGATTACAGGATCAGGCTTTAAGTCTGGATTTCTTTCGTATGTCCGTATCTATTTTTATATAGGGATAAATGTGTTAATGAAATATCTTCCAAAGTCCTTATCTTTTTATCTACCTTGTGTTTTTCGTTTATATACATTTCATTTCCCCGGTGTTCCCCTCAACTCGCAAAACAATCCTGTTCGTCTTAATTAGATAATTTTGATACTTTAAACATCATACTCGTTCGTAAGGTAATCCGGGAATAATTTTTCTCGGCAAATATTAAACCATAAATTTCGATCTAGCAGTTTCCGATCTATTTAACGTAAGAAATTAAAAGACTTTCGGAGAATCAGAGTGGAAATAATCTCGGCGAATGCATTTGACTTGCCTGCGCCAGGATCCTAAGATTTTTCATTGTATCGCTTCAAAAATATCTGTTTCACGCTAAGTAACTCTCACACTCTTTCCAGTAAATTTTAGTTCAAAACATTCTGACAATTTCATATTACTTTGGCTTTACCTATAATAGACTGATTTTTTAAAATTAAATATACGATTTAAATTTTTTTCTAAGAAACCTTCGCTGAAAATCGCTTCAGAAAACAAATCTAACTTTTTTTTGCGTTTCTACATAAAATGAGTAAAAGGAGCAATATATACTCTATGCATACGGTAAATTTTTATTTGCTCAACTAATAGCGCGTTACGCTTCATATGTCTCACGTTTTTCGAATTCTCAGGTATCTTTTGTGCCAAGAACGGAAGTCGCGAACAATAAAACATTAGGGAAACGTGACGCCAACAAGAAGAAAAGAGGACTGTTGCAATTAAGCGATGGATCAATCTTCGATGATGGATACTCTATTCCTCAAGACTTGGACGACGATTATTTTGCGGGATTGACGGATTATGGACTCCAGTTGACGAAGGGAACAAACGAGGAGGACGAAGAGGAAAACGTACGGGAACCCGCTGAAGCCGAAGTCAGATATGTGATGAACGTCTGCGACGGATGCGCCGATGAGCCATTCGGGAAAGCGTTGGTCATAGGCTGGAGATTAGTGGCCAAGAAACTTTATTCCGGCGCGTTATACTTGCCAGCTATACCAGCGTGTAAAGCATTCTAATCAATTGACGAGACGACGCGGCAAATCGCGAGCGAAGACGATATTACGGGACGTCGTGTAAATTTTCGCTGAATTTATCAAGCCACTCGGAAGGCTCCATTCTAAAAAAAAATATCGAAGTGAATTTAACATCATGCGGTATATCTACACAATTCTCACCATGTTAATATTAACACAAACGTAGTGAATTACACCTCTATGTTTATATCAACACCATCATGGTGTGGATTTAAAATCCACGGTTATTGAATTTCATTAAATTCACATCATGTTAGTGTTAAGGTTAATACCAACACAATAAGAATTATAGAGACATGATGTTAAATCTACACCGATATTTTTTAAAGCATCGCGCCAAATAACCAGGCGAACTCTCGACATTACGGTCGACGAAAGATCGACGATCTCTCGAAAACAAAATGTTCCCAGGTATCCACGCCATGTTTTAGATCGCTGAGTATCTTTAGTTATTACGGGCAAAGATGTTTGTCACGCAATCTTTCGATTTTTTTCTCCTCGTTGTTCATTGAGTCTTTTCTTTTCTCATGCTTAGGTATTGTAGCAGAATATTTATTTGTATCTTCGTAAATATTACAAATATATTCGAAGATGCGAGTAATATTGCCATGAAAAAAATTGCGCTTGACAAAACATTTTACCGATCATATTTATTTGCAATTTCTGACCGATTAACTGTATGACAATTAAGTCTGAAGCTTTCAGTACTGTGAAGGCGAGTACGAGGTCAATTGTAACAAAAAACAGTCGCCTTCTTATTAGCAGAAATTAATAATTAATTTATAAAAATCTTGTGAAATCTTGTTTAAAGATTATTGTTTAAGATATTAGAATCCTAATAAGTTCATTTATACATTCTTAGGAAAACTTCCGATTTATAAAAGTAAATTTATAAAAATACTATTTATAAAAACATTAACGAAAGTTTTAATCGATCTATATATTTTAAAAAATATAAGTATGGATTTAACACCATAGTTGAAAACCATATTAAATTTATACTATATTATTAAGATATATATTAACACTGTGGCAAGAATTATATAAACACACCACAATTGATATTGATATATCATCAACATAATGTGAATTTAACATTATGTTTTTAACTATATCAAATCCACATTGATATTTTTTTATAAGAGCATACAAGTCGACTGAAACCTTCATTAACATTTTTACAAATTTACTTTTACAAGTAGTTGAAAGTTTCTTTAATAAAAATATGCTGAATGTCGAAGTAACAAAGGTAAAATTTTATTAAATAAAAAAATGTTTATTAATGGAGTGAAGGACGGTGTTTGATGTTGTAGAAGAACAGTATTATATTGTAAGTTCAAAAAACAAATCAGGAACAACGATCGCTTTTAACAAAATACTCATCGCGATTTTAAGATGTGTGCTGATCGATTGACCTCAGCGAGAAGGGAAACTTAACTGCGCGACGAAAATCGCCTTGATCGATCAGTAACGTATGCCTCAGTTGCTTAAGCTCAAGACTTAGCCCTAGTGATATATGTATTTTGTGTATATGTGATGTATGCCGAATAAATTTTTATGAATCATTGCATTATATTCTTTGATTCCTCAAAAATTTTCTAACACAAAACAGTATATTTTTTAATATTATTAACATATTCTATATATGATACTCTCTCTTAATTAATAAAGCTTAAAAAATATTTCTATAAACACGCGGTACTTCCTTTAAAAAAAAAAGTTGTGTCTTTGTTGATTCAACCGTTCAGGTTAGAAAAGAGTACAATTATTTATTTTCAAATAAAAAAGAATATCTTATGATGTCCTTTATATCTTTTCGAATATAATTATAAAAAGTACGTTCTTTATAAAGTGCATAAAAAAGTACAAATTATTTATTTTTTCAAATAAAAAGAATATCTTATGATGACCTCTATACTTATATTCCTCCGAATGTAATACAAAATATATTCTCTTTATAAATATCAAGATGTGATATAAAATGCAAAATTAAACGAAAGAAATTCTCTCTAAAGTAAATATTTTCAAATTATTCTATAATATTCTCTTATACATCACAATTAACAAAGAATCCATTGTAGCTCCCCCTCGAGTGAGTCATATATTTAAATATAATTATCAAATTTTGGTAATCCTTTTGCATGATGGGCTGAAGAGGATATCTTTCCAATGTAATATTGCGTTATAACGCAGGCTAAATTACATAAAAATTGAGAGAAAAAAATATCCAACCAACCAATTTTATCTTCGAAGAAGGATAAAAGCAAATTAAGGAGGCTCGTTAACTCACACTTACCTTGCTCTTGTGAATGTGCTGATGCTGATATTCACTGTCGAATTCCGGTTCGCTGAAGTAGCTCTGATCTTCCCAATGGGGAGGCAGACCGCCGCCGCCACCCGGCACCCCCAAGGGCCCCGGCATCCCCGTCACTCCATCGGCACTCTCGAAAAGTCTTAGGACACTGCGATCCCTAATATCTCTCAGGTGTGATCTAAAAACCAAAACGATCACTTTTATGTTGCGCTGCAACGCAATCATTGTCCCTTTATTAAAATTCACCATTGAATATGTTCGTATATTATCATAACGAAAATTAAATAAATTGGAATTAAACAACTCTATGCAAATATTCTAAAACATTGCAATGGCGAATATTTGCAATAGATTTTATAATAAATAAAAAATAAATAAAAAATAAAAATAATAATAAATAAAAAATAATTGTTTAAATAATTGTTTGCAGAGCAAAATATATTTAACAACAGACTACGTTCTTCGAAATATCATTTGACATTTGAGAATAAAAGGTGAAATTTAGCAGAATATATTTATAATATGACATAAAAATTACCTTAAATCTTCGAGTTCATAGAACATATCCTTGTTGCTATCGTGTATGTAAACTTTTACGTGAGGACTGTCCAGATATTCCATAGTAAGTTGTTTCGGAAAGCTTCTGACGAAAAGAGCTTTAACGGTATCTATACTGGTAATCTCGTTCGGCAGTAATGCTCTCTTCGTCTCGTTCCTATATTGCAGGAACACCAGTCCTAAAAAGTACAGAAATGCATTTGTTTCATGCACTGATCATCAATGGCAGATTTAAGACCGGTATCATCTATTGATTAAGATTTAGAGGGTATTATTTTATGATATATTATATCAACATATATTACATAAATTACCTAGTGGTCGCTCCAAAGTCTTGCTGGGCGTTCGTACGACGGGCAGGCTACTTCTTTGCTTGCCCCCTCGCCGAAATCCCGTGCTAGAAGTCTCCACCTCGGACATGATGCCCGGGTCGTCATCGAAAAGCATCGTCGAAGGGGGTGGATAGCCGCGCGGAAGAGGCGACTGAAAGCACGCGAATTCAATAAGGTTTCGATTCATTGATCCGCGAGTTTATTTATGATCCTGTTATTATATCATGAATTGCTTATCAGTGGCATTCGTGAAGAAGAAATCATACGAGTCACTTCCCATACAACACCGATTGTTGCAAAGAACTTTCAGAAAAGTTGTAAAATCATTTCAACCTTTCACGTTTTATATGCAACAATTCGGAAAGAATTTTGCAATCTCGTATAAAATGTTACAACAAAAATATTTCTGAAATCTTTCACACGTAATAAAATTGAAGAGTAACAGCATCACCACGCGTTGTTAAATAAACGCGGCGGAGCTCTTATTTCTTGTAAACAAAAAATTAGAATCTAGAATCCCTAAAATTGAACTTCAAAATAGTAAATAAAATGTATTTTGAAAGTACAGTTTCGTTTAGCATTGTATAAAAATTAATTTAGAAATATATTTATGAGATTTAAAGGATTTAATATTCTTGAGATTTAAAATTTATTTTAATAAATTTTCAGCAACATTTCTGACATATTTCAAAAAGAGCCATTTCAATAACCTTTCGGCAATATTTCAGAAAGGTTAAAGATATTTTTCAATAAGATTTTTTTCAGCAAACTTTTTATAAAGTTTCAAATGCAAAAATCGCTGATATTTTGTTATTCCAAAGTTGCCTTAGAGCAGAAACATTTTATGCTGTTTTTGAGATGTTTCAATTCATCAGAGAAACTATTTCTGAAATGTTTCTGAAAGGTTTCTGTGCTGTACGAGTTAACGTGTTCAGGAACAACATTCCTGTATGTACCTAACTCAAGTCTAATAAAACCGAATTAGCATTAGTCTATTATCGATTTGTGTTGATTAAAATTCGAACGATTTGCCAATCGATAACGGCGGAAAATTGTGAGCATTCGTATAAACTGCGTACGGAATTGCAAATTTAGCATGATTTATGTAAAAACACTTGACTATTCTGTAATAAATCTTACTGAATATTTCATACCGTGATCGTTATTATAGATGACCTATCGATATTATAAAAATATAGCGCATTTAAATATCGATATATCAAATAAAACTCATAATCAAGCATTTAAAAAAATGAATTTTTTTAATCTCTGTGTAATTTATCAATTATCAATTATCTTATATAGCACAAACTTTCAAGGAACATCCTAGACGATCAAAAGACATCTCTATGTTTTCTGAACGTCCTAAGATAATTTTCAGGATTTCTCTCGAATAAAGTGTGCTGCACAGGATATCACTCAAAATTTTATTACCTGCCGCTGAGAATACATTCACAAAGATATTTTCTGAATACGACACACGATCAACTCGAGGATTACGTAGATGTCACTCAAAGAAAAACGATCGTGTCAGCATGCTGACATGCACGTTGATGAAAAATAAGAAAAAGAACTAATTCCGCAGGCAATCTTGCGTGAAAAACATGAAAATTAAAAAAATTACCTTTCTCTGGCGAGACTTGGTCCCCATCTGTCGGCGGCATGGCAGGTAACACGGAAACACACACACAAAGTAAAAACCAGTTAGATGTGTAATACATTGCGGGGTAGAAAAAGGAGGGAAAAAGAGAAAGAGAAAAAGAGAAACAGAAAAACGGAAAAACCGACAATTAAATGGAATCATTTCGACGAAGAGATCGAGTAAGAGAGGCGCCAATCACAAGCGATAGAGTTGCTCTTCGTTGACAGGTCGGCCGTGTAACTCGAGCGTAAATTGCGGCTGCAAATACTGCGATACATAGGCAGCAGTTTCCTGTTCGTAATAGGAACATGTTCCACGAATCGTTTTTCGGTTTTCGAAGCACGCTAAAGCGTTCGCGATGATCGAATCATTATTACTTCTTGCGTAACGTCCTCATGCTTCGTAAATCAGCAATTATACCCTAAAATGTTAATTTCCTCTTTGGGTGCAAAAACACTATCCGAATGCCTTCGAGTATCATTTTATTCTTGTTTAACACCATCTAAAGATAAAATGATCAGAGGGTATGTTTTTAAACATAGTTTTTCATGGCTTATACATAGAGATTTGAGAGATGCGAATAATTTGTCAAATGTAATTAAAAAATAAAAGAGAAGGTACATATATACATTAATCCAGATACAAAGAAATATGGAGTACATTCCGTTTATCGTATTTTTTCTATATTTAAAGAGTTTCCTTATTTCGAAAGTGATACTCTCATAATAACTCAAACAATTAAGTTTCTGAAAAAAAAAAAAGAAAAATAATTATATTTTTCAATTCGACAGAAATTATCGACTAATCAAATAATATGAAAAACAATATATTTCTAACGTGATCAGATGTTATTTTTGTCGTTTTCATTTCATCTCTTAAAGAACTATCCTTTTTTAGTTATAATAATTATGATAATTTTTTTATGAAGTTAAATTAGTTCACTTTTGATAACTGATAAAGATAATATATATTTTTTAGAATAATTATTTAATTTATTCATATTAATAACTCGCAAATCATTTTTTTGTGTCACTTTTAAAGTGAGGACGCGATATAACGAATATATAAATAATTAAATATATTTGCTAATATAATCAATATAATATGTAAATAGAATAAGTAAATAGAATAAAATATATAAATTGAATATATCTGGATATATCAGAAAAACGTTGATTTTTGTCATTTCCGTTAGGAGATGCTACATACAAAAGCAATTAATAGCAGCTGTATTTGAAAATAAATTCTCGCAGTGAGTTTGAATTACAATCCTGTCCCTTGTATGGAATTTTCCGTTATTTCCTGGGCGTGTGTAAAAATACGTATATACGCTATACACTATGTAAAAGAAATTGTGATTGTACGGAGGTACATTATTTCCGACACATTAATTTGTTACGCAGCTACATTATCGCATTCCTTATAAAAAGTTACAAGAACTGCAAGGTCGGTGCTTATGATATGCAACATTTACATACGCAATTCACGTTCGAGAACGGGATGTGTTAACCTGAAACGATGTTAACAGCCCTTTCAGATAAAAGATTAAAAGATAGGAAAGACAAAAGGAATAAAAAAAAGGAGAGAGAAGGGATAGGAGAGAGAGAAAAGGGAAAAAGTGAGCATCCGTTGCACGTGAATGCATAACTATAACGAAGGGTTAGGGTCATTGTGCGCGTCAAGCTAACCAAAGGGATAGGAATAGAGATATACATATATATATATATATATATATA